TCTATTCTGTTTCTAATTGAAAAAGTTTGTGCTGTGATCCCTACCTGTTAATTTAAAAAAGCTGTTGCACAACTTGAGTTGCTGTTCACAACAAACATTACTTAACAGCTTGCGTCATTTCTGAAAATATAGCCACTCAAAATTATTTTAAGATCAATCAGTTTTTTGCCTAAATTTAATCTCCGAAATTTAAGAACCTGTTAAGTGCACGTAGGAGGATGCAATCGATAGTGCTCTTTCATCTATTAATTAAAAACAGTAGAACATTTCGAGACCTTTCTAGCTCCTTGTTAAAGATGAAAATGATTTAACGCGCCGCGAAATGTGATGAGCTTTGCATCTTACATATTCTCAAGCTTCTGTTTAGTGCTTTAGCTGACACAACCACCAATAACGTGCCTACAGTCGTTCTTGGTGTATTATCAGCCTTGAAATTTATCTAACCACTACACGAAAACCCACAGCTATGCGGAAATCGAAAGGTTTAAGGTATTAGATTAGGATAGAAATATTGTGGCTTATAGTGAAGACTCTTTTCTATTAGTTATTGTAAGCTTTGTTCTTGGTAAGCGCTGGTGTGTCCTTGTTTATACATCGATTTCCAACTAATTTGAATTGATTTTACTTTGCTTTTTTTAAGGGTGGCAGTCTTTTCCGTTGTAAAATAAATGAGGTTTACTTTTAAATTACCTTTATATTATTCTTTGGCTTAAAATTTTCTATTCAAGGCACTTATTATTTTCGTATGAATTATATACAGAGCGGTAGGAATTTGGTTCGAGTTATTGATAAGTGCCTTTAAGCTCTGTCGTCAATCTGCTAATCATGGTTAAATTATCTGCGCAAAATTATTCTGGCACTATTATTTAGGTAAGGGTGCATTTAGCTGCACAGTAATTTCCCACAGAACTTTTGTAGCCTACTTTATGCTCGTCTCTTAAGAGCCTTATTTCAGTTTATTGTAATTGAACAAGTGTAAAGTTTGCTAAGGACTCAGTCAATTACGTGATCTCGAAATATTAGTAGTCACAATAACCAAAATATGTTCATATAGTGTGCCAATGTAGTAACTGTCAAACATTCATACCGTGTACACTTTTGACCCTCCTGACTATAACTCAAATCGCATATTTTTCTTCAGAGTATAGGCAAGAGGTTAATTCAATCAAATGTGCATCTCTAGCAAAAATAAGTTGGAGAGTGTGATGTGAGCATGTCCCTTCTAACGACAGCTGAATGAGGAAGTAGGCGATGCTAAGGGGTAGTCGCCAAGTTATAATTGGACAAATGAAAACACGCGTTTTAACTGCCACTACAAATCATTAGGCACACTCAAACGAACAATGCCAAGAAAACGGATTTAGCCATTGGAATATAATTTTTTTTAGATGTTGTGATTTCTTAGCAGGGGAAAAATGGTAAGCGATAGAGAGAAAGAAATGAGAGAATGAGTGATTCGTGGATCGACCAATTTGAGGATTACGAGATCGGCAAGGGAAATGGCTAACCGTGCAAGTAAATGTTTGTCTATTGGGAATGAAGGAAATATTGTTTCCCATCAGTCCAGAATTATTGGTGAAATATTCTGTAAAATCCTGAAACTGGAGAAGTTGTAATTGCAGCATCGCAGGAATAAGCAGAATATGGGTGCATGTCGAGATGCTTTCATTAACAGGCATCATGCTACGAGAGAGGTAAGTGGATGCTATGGCATGACAACCGGCCCATCGTCCTATCATTTATGATCTTATTGACGTGTTTTGAATCTGCTGATAAAATTGAAGGATTTCCAATAGAGAACTAGCACTACTATTGTCTCTAGATTACACAAATTTTTCTCTTTTATACACAAAATAATTGCATATTTGTCTCCAACAGCAAGGCTAGAATGATTCACAATTTTCACTCTGTTAAAACATCCAGCTTTAAAGGATGAGAATCTTCTCTAAAAGAGGGGGTGCTGAATTTTAAGAGGGCTATTTAGACGGTGGTGGTGTGAAATGTGAAATCTGGGTGAGTCTACTGCACTTGAGTTCTAGTATCATAAGGTCAATTGCTTTTTCTCAATTTAAAGTACCTTCGGGCTTGTTCTTTCTTTTCATCACTTTGTTCAGTATATGAAGGATCTAGATGACATGCTTTATTGGGTATTTTTTTGTATAATCTTTGAACCGCTTATCTGCTTGCAACGAAGGTACCATTTGTCTGATCGACACGCTAGTACCTTCGCAATTCACTTTTGCTTCCAAAGATCCGATAACAACGAGAATCCACACCTAACTTCTCTTTTATGCACACCTTTCGGGTGTGGTTGATGGTCAGCAATATCGAAAATAAAATTCTTTATTGAAATCCTGCCTTTTGTCACCGAAAACCTACTTATCATCAACCATATTAGCGTAGTTAATTGACAGAGACGAACATCTTAATTCAGATAAGATGCCAGTCAAAATGACTCAAAGTCTGGATAGGCTGTTCGTTGCTTGTATTACTTCTTAACGTTCCTACCATTTAAAGAATTTGTTTGGGTGCTTGCGGGTCTTGACATTTTGGCAGTTAGTCTAGACTGGGCGAATAAACAAAACTCGGCATTGATTCGGTAATGTTGGTGGTGTACGTTTTTGAAAAATACATCAAGAAGAAGATTCGTTGACAAATATTAATGCAATGTTATTGCCAGGGAAAGCCGAATTGTATTGAAGGTTTAACGATTCAAATAAGAGAAAACGGTTGACCTTAATAACAGCATATCACGTAGGCGACTTAGATGAAAGTAATGATAATCGCATGATGGGACACTGGCCGGCTTCTTATAAGACAACATTTGCATACAAAGGCACATTTAAATAGAAAAACAGAGATTTACTTTTCCAATGTGACTTGTGTAATTGGGCCCAGGCACATTTCACATTAGATCAAACATTGAAAGCCAGCAAATAATTTCCTAATCCCCACCATCAGCCTGAGTCAAAAGTTTTCTTTAGAAAATTACTATCTTCAGTTAGGAAAGCGGTGCTTATTGGTTAATAGAACTTTCATTTACAGACAAGGCATATTTTTATATGCAGCTGAGAAGACGAAGAAGGCTTACTTCTAATTCTGAAAATCTTAAGAATACGAATCTAATAAAATTGAAGAAGCAAATAATTGATATGTTTTTTCTTTACATTAAGATATAAAGAGGCTCCTATTTTGCTACTTTCTTAACGAACGGCTAATAAAAATTTTAGCAACAACTCATGCCAGGTTATCATAAATTTACTCATTAAAATAGAACTAATCATATTTATATGAAAAAAGACAATTGCAGAGTGCTCCGACTTTAAAAAAATAGTTAATAAATTTTAATATATATATTAGTGCAGCGATTTTATCGACTGCACTGTGGGCCAAACCCATTTTTTTTATCTACCTCAGGATTAATTTTTGTTTAGCATCATTGCAACGTAATGGGTAGTATTAAGATTCGTCAGCGCATAGAATCGGGATTATTGACTTAGCAATTTAGTAAAGGCAATTGATTTAGCAGGCTGGAAAACCTCGGAATTGTTTGCTTAACTTGAAAGGTGCATTAATTGCAACCAAAGTTAACTAAAATTGCAGATTATTTGGTACAGGTTTGAAAACTAGAATCATATAATTAGTTTTCATAATTCAATAAAAATTAGGTTTAATATATAAGTATGGTTGATAAATGCGTTATTAGCTGCAGTTAGCAATATTCAATATGGAGTTTTCTCAAAATGTAGAAAATAAACAAGAAACAAATGTAAAACTTTTTAAAATTTTATTACAATAAATACTTGGTTCATTTGATGTTAATATTCTAAAACGTAAATTGGGCAATGGATTTTGATTTCATGAATTAGCATGTTAGCTTTTTATGCACTAAAAAGACTGCTTAATTATGACCTTGGATACACGTTCAAGTGTTCAGTTCTATCCTCTTTGTTCATCCTGGCATTTTCTTTTGGTATTCAAAATGTGTATGATATTATTTACTTAGTCAAATTGATAACATATAAAATAATTTATATTCTAGTTATTTGCATTGGTTTTTGCTTAGATTGTTAGCTATTTGTGGGATTTGATTATTAATTACATAGTTTTTAAATACTCTGAAATCAAATTGGATTGTAATATGCATTTATTTTATTTGTTTTCTATTGACAATTTGTTTCTTTACTAGTACCCATATGTTTTTTTATTTTATAAATTAAATCGCATGCCCATCTTGTAGCCAAATGAACGCTGAGACGGGTACACTGAGGTCAAATTCGGTATGTATAATATTATTAAGAATTTAATATTCCTTTTGGAAATTTGGCCACTTTGCTTGGTTCATTTTAGTTCGCCGTTTATTTTCATCCGTTGTTAAAATAAGATTCAGTTTTTTTGACTTTTCTCTTAATGCTGCTTTTTATTTAATTGCTTTTATAATGGCCTAATACATTTATATGAGATTATTTTAATTTTTAAATACATATTTTTTTATAAAACCACAAATCTTGTTTCCATGTGACGAACGTGTGGACAGGGACTCTTCATTGTTATCATTAAGCTTTCACGACTAATATTCCAAGAACTTCCAATTTCATCGTCTTTCCCTTATTGATCGATCTCTCATTTTATTTTCTTTATTGGACTTCATGAAATAGTTTAAAAATCGATACATGCTTAAAATTGAATGTAAATTCGATAGTAAATAGTGCATATGTAGTTTGAAATCAGTTAAGTAAGTTTTACACATTAAATATATATTTTTAAAACGTTCAAAAAAATAAGAGCCTCTCCTATTTGTATTTGTAATGCCTATTCGCTTGAATCCTACAATAAATAACCTAATTTACTCAATTATCGATTAATTTTTATTCATCCAATTACCGACAAACAGTTGATTACACACGTTAGGATTAATTTTACGAAATAAAATATCAAGCGCTCACGGTGTCCTAGATCATATAATTCAAATAACAAAAGATAGTTTTGCTTTGCTACAGAATTCTCTATTCACCACTATGAATCAGGGAGCATCAAACTTTTCCAAATTAGTTCAAGAAGATGCGTCGAAGCGAACCTCCACTACAGCTGCAGTTTCCAATGCATCCATTGATGACACGAAAAAGGATATCATTGTTACCTCCACAGCCCCAATATCTATGGGTCTTTTACCGACTCAACTAATAACTGTTCAGCTCAATAACGTGTAAGTTTCATTCAAGTTTAGTCCACATATCGAATGTTTTGTTTATTTATGCAATATCTAATGAATATGATGTTAATAAATGTGTTTAAGTTATTGAAACATCTATCCAGTAAAATTTTGTTAAGGGTTTAACGATTGGATAAATATTAGTTCCGTTTTTACTTTTCCCCGTGCATTATTAAAGTCCTTGTATTAATTGCAGAGTAAATGTTATTTGAGTTTACATTTGATTTGATGTTTTAATGGCTTACTCACGTCGTTTGCAGAAGAGAATTTGACAATTAAAGTTGCCTTAGGCAAAGGAAAGCGGAGATGGAAGCTGGCGATTGGATGACTCTCTGTGCGTTGGTTATTAGTCTAACCAATCAGATTTATAAGGCTACTCACACGTACGCACCCGTACCTTATCGATATCGGCCTATCGGCTTATGGGCTGGCCAATCATGATGCTTCCAGACGCGAGTGCTATCTCTGCGCTTCTACATCGAGTTGCTAATACTCGCCCTCTTAGTCCCTATTCCTGATGAAGATTAACCAAATAGACCTATTTTAATAAAACATTATTTTGAGAAATTTGGGCAGAACTAAGACGATAATATTAATTTCAAAGCGTATTCATTTGAATTTAGGTTCTCTTACCAACTTCATCACTTATTAAGAATTGCCAAATATGCTCCATTCTAATTTTAGGCTTCTTTAATGTACGTTTGAAGCTATTTTTTGCTATTTCAATTTCTCCGTTTTCATGTTTTATCGAGTTGAGCTATTTTTCTCTTGTCGTTCGTAATTGTGGGAATGTGTCCATTTTATGCTGGGTAGCCGTAATATACCAGGTTGCCGGATCTGGGGTAACGAATTAGTAGCTTTATTTTAGTCATCTAGTTTTTTTTAGATAAAACACCGCAATCCAATTTATCGTTGAGCAACAGAAAGTGATATTGTAGTTTACATTGATTTTAAGACACCTTCCCTTTTTATACCAACATGGATGTTAGAGTAATCACACGTCCAAGCGAACAATAAGCATTTTTATTAGCATATAGTACCCAAAAGATATTTGGAGTGAAGTCAAATGGCACAGAGTCTTGGTTCGTTTGATCTCTAACTTACTTTGTGCTATTTTCGTATTTCCAAATCTAAATTTCATGAATCGTCACCTAGATCACTAAAATACTCTTTCGATAGGTTGTTTTCTGATCGTTATTGCATCTTCGATTCTTGCTTTTTTCCAAAAGTTGAGAAAGTAGTCTGCACAGTTTTAACATTACGGAGCTAAAAAAGTAGTGCTTCTTCTCTTGAGGATCTTGATTTTTTCCTATTTGATAAGATAATGCGAAATTCTTCTTATTCTTTCTGAACTATTAGCAAGCAATTGCTTCTTTCTGAACTTGTGCTGGCCTTTGAGTTTTATGTTGAAAAAATCTCGTTAGGCCACTTCTTTATAGCTTTCTAGCACTGAAGTAAGGGTTGGTGTTGGTATCAAACCTTACTATAAATTACAACTCAGAATGAGGGCTTTGGAATCTAATTTGATCAGTTTACAATTTGAGCAGTTTGGAAAAAGAACATACGAATTGTGAATCTTTGACCTCTGTGCTTTTTCGCTTAAAACCCCCAAAAAAACTGAGGTCTAATCGAACTACATGGACTAAAATATCTCAACCCAAAAAGTACTTTTTTAAAATGAAATCGGAATCGATAGCACCTTTTCTTTTGCCATCCAAACTCAAAATCTTTAGATTTTCTATCCACTATCCCCTCTCTTCAATGTAACAATAATGTAACAACCGATTTACAGTCTCTTGTTTAGCTTCTACCTTATGTATGTACTTTTGTTGGTCACCTCTTTTATCAAATAAGTTAATCAATCATGTTTTAAATAAGCTTCTATCGAATGCACTTTCTAGATCATTTACTTTAATTCTTTCCTTTAATTTGCTCCAGAAGTTAATTCGAAAAGTTGTTTTTTAGTTACAGTAATTTCGTCTAAAAATCTTCCCTTTGAAGCCCTCAATACTAATTAATATTGAGCCATCGTTTTTGGCATTCTCTTAAAATTTAAATCCCCAATAATGTAAATCGAGTTGTAAAAGGAATATTGATTAGTGGGAAGGAGGATCATTTTAAAATATCTGATAAATTTTCGCTCCTGTTTGAGTACGTTCTGGAAAAGGAGGAAGCCTTCTTTTACCGGTTGTTTAATGTACAATCTTGATTCCAAATGCAATTATTTTGGAACTTTTCTTAAAATTCCGATCATTGGCCGTCCCTTATAGAACTTAAGCTATGACTTTTGTATGATGAATTTTAACGGTCATCGTATCGATCCAGATATGTACACTGCGTAATCAGAGGACAAGGTCATTATCAGATGCCTAGTGAACGGAATGTCCAACCATACTGGTTAAGTTAGGCTGATAATGCCGAGGGCAGAGTTGGAGTTTCTCATGGGGAAGAATCCTTGTTGCTAACTCTATGCCCAAGAAAGTTTTTTTTTGAAATAGGCTTTCACTATTGTGTTTGGCGCGTATTTTTAAATGAAGTTTGAAAGGAAGAAGGGAATTCGGCCACTGAAATTCCGAAATTTCTCTTTTGTCCTTTACCAAGATAATTGCACAGCTGTGCAGGTACTTCATATAGCTCTTTCAGAGTTGAAAACTCTTCTTCAAACTAATACTTCAGGGTTGGGTGGTCATACTCCGGTTTACAATCAAAATTTCCTTTGCATCTAATTTGAGGCATTGGGATTTCTCTTAATTTTCATTCTTACTATGCTTGTCAGTATTTGAAAATATTATCCAATAAATCTGCTCCATTAATTTACCGTAAGTACTGAATTTCTTGTTTGCAGAAATTAGCGTTGTAGCCAATATAATTGGAGTATGGTATAATTATGATGAAGAAATCGTACCTTCGAAATCGATAATCGTTATATCGATCCCCGAATGTTGCCCATGATCAAATCTAGTGGTCGATTATGCAAAGAAAATTTCATTTTTTTAGGGTAGTAGTTGGCATCTATAAGCACTTTTTGAAATATTTCATTATCAGGAATAGTTTGACGAAAGGGTTTTTTGATATTTTTATAACATGAGATCAATATATATTTCTCATATTTTAACCCGTCTCAATCGAATTTAAGAAATCATATCCTCGAGTGAATTAGTTTTAATACTGTTACTATCATTTCATTTAAGACAACATTTTTTAATGCGAATCTTGGGAAGAGGCATAGCCTCTTGAAGCCTCTGGTGAAAAAACTCAACCCCCCCCCCCCCCCCCCCCCCCCCCCCCCACCTCCCCCACTCCTCTATTATTATCCAGATTCAGGCAGTACCGTTGTGCACGATGGAGATTGGGTCTAGGACATTTAACCTCGGGGACGGCTCCCCTGGCTCATTAGATGACGTCTACATTTCGGTCACCACTGTATCCCCCACTTATGGTACTTAAGGTCACAGATTTTAGTCAATTATGCAAATGAATTTTGCCGAGTTCGCATTCATTTGCCTAATCGTAGACGCTATTGGATATTTCAGCCAATAAGAAAATAAATCAAGATGTATCTTTTTGCTCTCATAAAGCTGGAATTAAGGCCGTAAAACAGAAAATTGGTTAATTTATTCCTTCATAAGTGTTTCTCCATTGAGGTTAACATAAAATTGTACAAATGGCTGGTTAGTTTCCAGTCAAATCTAAATGAAATTTGCAATGTTCTTGTAGTTCATATGCGCTAGTATTAGCAAGAAAATAAATTACTATTAAAGACGTCAATCTGACGCGGTATTGTGAATTTATATTTTACGAGGATGGGATGTAATGATTACCTGCTGCCTCCTTCCCATTGTAGTATTGTCTCTTTCAGTGATTAGTTTTGTTATCAGTTAGGGCTTAAAAATGTTAAGTGCTTTCTTGAAAGCCAAGGTGGTTTTATCCTTTAACACCCGAATTATTTTTTTATTGAAAAATGTATCCAACCGTACTCACGCGTGTCTCACAGTAGACTGATGTCGCTGACGTTTTGAGTTTTTTTTGTATCAGACAAAGGCTATAGGCGTATTGGACATGCTTAAAACGGCAATAGGGCCTTCTGTCACGAGTCCAGTACCAATGGATCTTCTTTTGAAGGAGGACCGTCTGTTCCTAAGGCTGTTATGGAGTGAAATGTAATTGGTTTTTAGAGTTTGAGTGAAATATTACCATGACATATAGTATTGTACGAATGCAGCTTTGTTTTGTCGTATTTGATGGATTTCGAGAAGATTCATCCAGTTGCCTATCTGTTTAAACAGCAACCCCAATGTTTTCATTAGGGATTAAAAAATTATAGCTACTTTATTATATTCTAAGTATTAACAAATATTTTTATTTCTATTAAAGATCTGCCCCCTATTAATTGCGTAATTGTCTTGCATTGAAGCCGCTTTCAACAAAGAGGAGTTAAAAATGAATGAAACTCATTCATGGGACAAGTTATTTGTTTTTACTTCATTCATTTAACAGACTCATTTTTGAATTTCAACTATAATTTCTACGCGGGTATACAAACTTTCAAAGTAGAGTGGATTTGTTTGAGTTTGAACTTTAGAGGGGTATTTATTCAATTAGGATAATAATCTTCCGCATTTGTATATGTATTCTACTATTATGCGCCTGTCAACAATGTCGAGATTTGGTCGGTGAATTTTTGTGGATTGACTTTCTAAACATCGGGCTCATTCATTGGTTCTTTTTATATTGTGCTGTGCATAATGAGTTCAGCTCATTTTCGAAATGAATACGAATTTCCAAAGTGCTTTTTTTCGGTTTTTGTTTCTTAATCTATCTAAATTTGAAGTGATGCATTAGCCACCATTTCATGCTGCATTATTTAAATCGTCAAACATTAGGATGTTCGAATTTATTTGAACTCCCCATGTTTGCAACATAGTGGCCGCCATTCTCTTTGAGACTGAGCTCTATAGGTTAAGAAAGTGCAATCGATTTTTGAGAAACTGATTGGATTATGAAATCTTTTCTTTAATTATTTAACGTAATTGTTGAATGATGCAATGACAACAATGTCGCATTGCAGACAAGATAAGCGGCGATGGTACCACTCATCTTATATTTAGCATCACCGGATGAGTTATTCAAGGCTCCTTGTCTAAGCAATGATAATAATCTTCCATAAATATAACCTTCGGTACCAAATATTGCGAGTTATTGCTATAATTTAATGTGAAAATACAGGACAGATAAACATTAATACTTGCGCATGCGTCTCCAACGTAGTAGAACTTCAAATCCATACAGCTTATTGTCCCATTCATATCCTAAATACAATCTTCAAATAAATGGGCTTTTTATAATAGATTTGGTTTTGATTTTCAACCAAGATAAACTAGTTTTTTTGCTCTATGCTCAATAAATTGTTTCTAAATGCTCTTTATAAAGTGATTCAGCCAATTTATTCATTAGCCGTCATGGTTTCTCTGAAGATGTCTTTTATTAAATTTGAAACGTCCAGAATAAGTGAATTTTAAGTCATTTAATTCCATTTGTGCTACGGTGACAGCGTGGTTTCTACGTTTGTTAGACTTCCTCTTAGAAGGAGTTACGAAGTTTGAAAATGGAATTAAAGCTGCCATTTATGTTTCCATTGTCTGCGTTTTAGCTGTATCTTTGTGCCTGTTTTATTTTGCGCTGAAATCAATATCTGTTGGTTCAAATGGAGCTTGAGTGTGTCTAAAGTTGGTTAAAGTGGAAGAGAAACCCAAGAAACAAATTCGTCGTTACTGAAGCCTGGCCGTTAGATTTCGAAGAGAGATATGCTGAGGAATTTCTTTACACAATCTGTTTCAACAAAAGCACTTAAGAATAATCAACGAGAGTTATTTTAGTTTGTTTTGGTCAGCTATCATTGGTTGTACTTGTAGGCACTAAAATATCTTTTGAGTAATTTCTGTGTTATGTATTCCTACCGATTTGTTGATGTGGGTCATTTCTTAAGCTTTGTAACGGTTTTATTTATAATAAACTGCCCGCAATTAGTTGTAATGCACGTAATGAACTTCTCTAATCATTAAAAATGTTACAATGGTTATATAAAGTTTAATCTTATATGAAATCAGAAACCTTTGAGAAATCAGTCTTTAATCCTCATTTGAATACACGATTACACCCTATCTCCTCTCCCACCAATCTATAGGCGTGCAGGTTTTCTTTGTTGATCATTGGTTGATAAGTATTTGCATTACTACCACTACTATTATAATAGAGCATAATTTTATAGGCGTTATATAGTTTATACTGAATAAAATCTCCCATCGACAGAACGTCAATCCTTAGTAACTTTTAATCTCTATAAGATCGCCTTTTATCACTCCCTGCTAATTACAATTTTCTCAATGTTTACATCGTAAGTCCCTTGATTTTTCGTATTACTTGATTTTACTTGTTTATTTTGTGTCCATTTTTAAAATCCGTAACTTAAGCTTTTACGGTAAATTCATAGTGTTGCATACGTGCTAGTTTTGATATAATTCCCAAATCAGGATTTTATGTACGCGAAGCACAGGCAACCAATTACAGTGTATACTGAGATTAATTAATAGCAAAGAACCCAATCAAAGTTGGCCGAGAGCATACACGTACGCACTCTTGTACTATCGATATCGGTCTATCAGTCGTAGAAGTGACCACTAGGAATCGTCCTCTTCCCTCTAGGTGTGTGTGCGTGTGACCAGTGCGCGCATCTCTACGTTCATACACCCACGTGTGTTCTTTCAAGCGTGTGTACGCGTTCGCGAAGAAGGCGCGAGAGACAATCGCATTACGAGGGAGTACTCTGCTCTCCCTTCCTTTCCACTGCTTTCGCTCTCTTAAGTAATCTCCTCCATCTCCGCTCATAGGCATTACTATGACTTTCCTAATTTAAGTCGATTAGTTAGGTTAAAGGCATCATAGTTTAATTTTGTTAGCCCAGGTTTACACTCCTCCATTACGATACGAGATTATCGATTTATCGATCAATCAAGCAAACAGCGATTACGTAATTTGTGTCACTTTGGAAGTCAGCTGGATTTATTGATTAATTAGGGTATTCTACGAGTTAGTTATAAAACGCTTATCGTTAACTCATCGATTAAATCAACCGAGTGAATTATAATGTATATCAGCTCGAAAAATCGATTAATTGATTTAAAATGAAGTTAAGGAAAAGCGTGATTTGAGAGGTTATTCAAGTGTATAAGGTTCCGGTTTTAAGAGCATTAAATTTTCACTTTTCATAAAATAAACCACCAAAAAAGGTATGAATCTATGAGGTGATGCTTAGTACATGTTAATACAACCCTAAAGCCTCTATAGCTTAAAGTGGCTTGATTACCAATTGTTACTTTATTGATAGGAATTCTAAGCCAATGGAAAAGCTAACCGCTGCGCCAATTTTTACTAATGCCCTGAGGGGTCACAACATACCTGTTCCGATTCTTGCCAAACCGGTTAATCCCAGCATCTCTCGAAGACGAATCGGTAACACAGGCCAGGACACATTGACGTTGCAGTGTCAAAATTTTAATCGCTTTCGTCACAAATGGTATGATTCATATTACTTTGAAATCGAAGACTGTTGGGAAAATTACATCTGTTATTCTTCTATATAGCTCTCAAACTGACGAATCGGTTCCTCAAACTGATTTATTAATTGAAACCGTATGTTAAATTTATTCGAAATAATTTCTATTATCATTAATCTGGTTTCTATGACCCTTTGTTGTTGCAGATAAACAAGATTGTATATAAACTGAATGAAATGAACAACAAGTTGACCTCGGTTCAGTCAAAAGTAGCTTCTTTGGAGGAGAGATTCACCACAGTATATGGCGATGGTAGCCTCCTTTCATTCTCCGATTCATACAAGTTTGGAAGTGGTGACAGAATTGGCAATTTTTCGCGAGGTAAGTGTTCATTGGTTGACATTTGATCTACCGTGTGGACTAATATTATAAAATGCAGTATGCTGATTAGATTTAGAAACACTAAGTAAACTTAAGCTGACTCGCTCATGTGTTTGAGTAGAACCTTTAGGTTCATTGACCTGATGATTCATCCCGAGTAATCTAAAGTAGCTGATTTACAAAAGTTTTGTGAGTACATTTTACTGAAAGATAATAAGTAGCTATTGAATATCAAAATTGGTTTTAAAATCATTTTTACTCTTAATAGGTAGAGGCTCGCTAATGCTACGCAACTCTCGGTATTGGGCCAAAAGGCGCCTGGCTTCTCGCTTGTTAGCTGAAAAGCAACAACAGCAAGGGAATGGAGTAAAGAATGAAGGTACTGAGAATACTACAGAAACTCCAAATCCATCATCTGTTCTAGTACCTCGCAGCGTTGCAGCTGTGCGTCGAAATCGACGCGTTCTATCTGATAGTAAAGACGAGGATCATAATGGTGCTGGAACCCAGGCGAAAGTCGCAAAACTTCTGATGGACGCACGAAGGGAAATGGCTGCGTATGAGAAAGAATGCCTTGAAATGCAAAACTCGAATTCAATGTCTGGTGGAATCTCTATGGCTCCTTTTTCCGGAGCTCTCAGACCGATTCAACTAATTACTCAAGTGAGATAATCACACTTATTTTATATATGATTTATCTGTGTTCACCAAAGACGAAAAAAGTCCAGTTAATGGTTGAGTAAGTTATTAGCTTATGGTATGGAAAATGGAGAGTGAATGATTTGGTGTTGTGAATCGAATTTCCATGTTTTTTACAAAATAAACTGGGAAATACGAGGAAATTGAATGATTGATCTTATATTTGACCACTTAGAGGTTGATTTTTACAAGTTTTCATCACTGAATTATGATCAGATGATGCCTTGTGGCTTTCATCTGTCCTCGAACGGCAGTGAATTCAACCATTCAGTCAATCAAGGCTGAATACATATTGCTCATATTAGTCACTGAGGAACCGCAAAAGCGTGTGAGAATGCAAGGATTGTTTTTGGACTCAGTTTTTGAATGGAGACATTTGCTTTTCAGTCTTAGAAGTCCTTTCAAAATGACCTACAGATTTCATTTGTGAATAGAATTATCTAACCAAATATTAAACACTATTGTATTGAATTAACTTCATAGAGTTTGAATATGTGCACGTACATGCGTAAAGGCATCGATTTTGTCATTAAATTCAAATGTTGACACTTTTTGTTAGTATTGGACTATCTTAATCGATGACTTTTCAAATACAGATGAAACTATATTAATAAAATAGTGCATAATCGAATGTTCAAAGAAATACAATTTTCACTTATCGTATCTCTTCAATTTCATTATCTGTAGAATATTCATCAAGCGGGTTGTATGTCCGATCTTTCCATTCACCGACTAGTTATAATTCTTACTCTAGGTGTGGACTTTGGGGATTACCAGAGACGAACCATAGAAGATAGCAGCTGTTTCTTCTGTTGCGTCTGTCGGTATGACTCGATTTTCTCTTAAGGGCTCTTCCTCATGCACGCTCCATGGCACGAACCACCTGTCTACTTCCATCTCTTTTGCTAAACCTGTTAATATGTAAAGGTTATGGACAAGAAAGTTGCTCACAATGTATTTCGAACAACTACTCCTTTCTTTGTTCTCCGCCCCCCTCCCTCTCTTCGCAGTCTCCTCTCTTGTCTTAATTCAAATAACGCCTGCCTACTTACTCACCAAAAGTCGATATTAAGAGGAGAGGGGAGGTGAGCTTAACAAGTTACAGAACTACGAAGTTCTTCCACCTTGAACTCATTTAGTTAAATTCAGTTTATGCGTTGTTCAAGGTTGCTTACGCAATACTCTGACCGTCCTGAGTTTGATGAGAAAAAAATGCTACTCACACAACATCGAAGGCAAATAGATAAGCAATTTTGGCGGAAAAATTTTCTTTGCTACTAATCTTTCTCCATTGAAGAATGTTTGCCCATCTATTTATTTCTTAATTCCCCTAGAAGATTAATTTTGTGATGCTAACTGCTAATTGAGATAAAATGTTATTTTACTTAATTGATATAATTAATGCTAATACTCTACTCATAAAGGCAAAATAAAGTATTGCTGTTAATACAGAATGTTTTGAATAAGTTGGAGATTTCTACTTCTACGCAACTCGGCTCGGATAAATGCGTCCTATTTCCTTTACTGAAGAGTAGTTGAAGAAGTTTTCCCAGAGTTTACTGACAGCATTGTGGATGAAATTCTAATAATCATTGTTTCGCTTTCTACTTTTTTCAGTTGTATTGCAAGATATAGCCACTTAGATTTTACCAAAGTGATCGATCGATGGTTGTGATTGTAACATTATGGTTCCTTATTAACCCACAAGGGTAATACAGTTCGACACACTATCTGGATTAGGTTTATGTTAACTTATGTGATAATATCACGAGGTGAACAGAGCATTTGACCTTTTGAATCCTCTCTATTCTTCCATTTTACTGGACCAATAACCAGCTGAGTGATCTTTAATTAATAAATATATCGATCCCTGGGAGCTACTCAACTGGTTCTATTTTATCCACTATTTGGTGCATCCTCTCAATCTTCGATATTTGTATTTTCTCATGACAGCCCGCATATCTAACTGGCTTTCGAGTGGATTCTCCGACCTTGCCACCCATCCTACCGCTGTTATCTTCATCCGTTCTGGATACATCAGCAACAACACCGGCAGTTACACTTCCATTACCACCATTGAATACGTCTATCTCAGAGTCTACCGAGCAGACGGTTAATAGCACCAATGAAGAAGATTCTATTCAAACTAATGCAAACTCCGTAACCAACACATCAACCCCATCTCCCACATCATCTACTCCAACTCCTCAACTTCCACCCATTCCTCCCAAATATCGCCGACCTATGCTCCTGGACACATCGGAGATTGCTCGTCAAACGAAAGATATGTTGCTGAAATGCTCTATCAGTCAGCGATCATTTGGACAAAATGTTTTGGGTTTATCACAGGGCAGTGTGTCAGATTTGCTCACTAGACCCAAACCCTGGTCTATGCTCACAAATAAAGGAAGAGAGCCCTTTATTCGCATGAAACTCTTCCTTGAGAACCCCCGCTCACTTAATGGATTTGAGTACAGTAAGCATGTTCTTCAGATTGTTTGTTTTGTTAAAAATACACTCTGATTTTGATGAGGTGGGACAGGAAATGAAGCGAATCAAGTGTTGGTACAAGTAAACAGATGGCTGGCTAATGTTACTTTACTTGAATTCTCAGACTTTGATTTAATATATGGCTTCCAGATCAGAAAAGTAGACATTCCAAATGACAAACGGAGACTGGTTGGCTAATAATTGATAAGTCTATAAATGTTAGCAACAATAGTAAGTCAACTTATCAGCAGTGCCAGTGAACACCGTGCTGTCCACGTCTTTAAAATTCAGCGTTTGGTCAACTTTCACGTCTTTCAGGTCAGAGGTCGTGAGATCAAGGCTCATCGGTGAACATGTAGTGGTGGTTATTGTGGCCCAAACAGAACAGGCGGTAGAATAAGTTTTTCTTCTTGAAAGCCATAAAGTTGAGTGCGGTTTTTCTCTAACCATTATAGAATTTCCTCTCGAATTTGTGTTTTTTCTGTCGATTAATCTTCATATTGCCGAATGGTTATTTTAACGTTTGTTTATTTGGTTTTCCGCCAAAAGATTCTCTTTGTTGATTAGACTAGTAATAAAATCACATAGGTAACGTTAAAAATTCACTTTATTTTAAAGTGTCTTTTTCTCTATACTAGCATAGGAGCTAACCGTAACTTTTATTATACAATTATAATTAAAAAAAATACGAAATTTTGGACAAAATGTGAACAAATTCAAGAGGGCGAAAGAGTCTCACCTTATTGGCGAGATTAATCGACTTCGTTATTGAGTTTATGCCAATTGGATTGTGGATCAAGGTCTTCAAATTAGGGTTAGAAAAACACTTTGATACGTCGTCTTTGTTATCAACATAATGGTGGCATTAGGCCAATTGTTAACATAATGTCACAGCCGTCATTTATTATCAGTTTCGGTCAGCTTACAGTTGTGACATCATTTTCGCATTAGCCTAGATACTATCAGTCGAAGTGGTCCACCTTCCTGCTCTTACTTGGCGACTGTGATGTTGGTGTAAATAAGCGACCTATTCTAAATGCATGGAATCGTGCCCGTGTAATTCCTTTCTCCCACTTGTGTAGCATTTTGCAATGTTGTCGTGGCAACATTCAATGCCTACACGGGTTTGAATTAAATGAGTGCACAACTATTGAAATATTTGCTGAAAAATTTCGTGCCTTACTGTCGCTCATTTACAACTGTGCATTTTTATTTGCTGAATAGTTACGTTAAAATTAGTCTTCAATGCGGCTAGAATTTTCCCCTACAACCTATTGGAAACACTGACTTTTCCTTCCAGTTAACCCAGAAATCAGAATGAATCTTTTTAAATGTTCCTTAGTCTAATTATTTGATTGACAACCTAGAGGTGGGTTTGTTTTACTTAACGAGATTTTAATTATTTCATTTTTCTACTCACTTCTACGTTCTAGAGCAGATCGTTTCGTGAGAACTGAGTTCGACCAATATCCCACTTTTCTGCTTGCTGTCAGATTGTTAAACTATTTAAGCAGAAGAATTATTGGTGTAATTTTTATTTTGAAGTTTGAAAATTGCAAAAAAATAATGAAATTTGCTAAAAACAATGAAGAATATGCAGATATCGTCTTGAAAAGCGGGACTTTCTGAGCTGCTACCTCATTTGAAAAATTATGGGAGAGCATAAAAATATCCAAATGCTACTAGTAAGTGTATTGCTAGTGCATGCGGAGGAGGAATTCTTTTGGAATATACAGCCAACATGATTAGGTGATTTCATTTTGTCTCGTATCCACAGAATGCGCCATACACCGTTGACAAAAACATGGCAAAAGGCTAATGATGCGTTTCGCCCGTTAAAGAAAAAATGCCATAGTGGATTGTCTGCGATAATATTTAGTCTAGAATTTCTGTTTTTTCTAACCATATGCATACTCGTTAATCAAATGACTTTCGATTTATCATTTTATTTGGTTGAATAATTAGCTAAAGCTAAATAGTAATTAACTTTATTTATTTACTTACTTACTTATTGATAGACGAGCAAAAGTCAAGCTGTAACGTTGATTTTTTGAAGTACACGGACGATATTTTATCAAACCGAATTCCTAGATTTTGTAATTCTTGAACCATTTTCGCACTTTTCTGATTGAACTTTGCCATGTAGGAGAGGCGAAATGATTGCGATTGATTGAAATCGTTTAAACTTTCTTGTATATAAAGTTTTATAAATTGTTTTAATCGCCAAACATCATTCTTTTTTATGGGAATTATGTATACTAAAATTAAAGAACTCTTATTTATTGGCAACTGGGAGCTAATTTTAATCCTAATGTATTATTATTATTCTGTCAGCATTATAAAAATTGTAGTTAAGTGATAAATGCACCATATTTTATTATTGGCATAGGCTAGATTATGCTTAATCGATCGAAAAAACGAACAAATCCCAACTTACGTCAATTTGTCTGCGATTACAAACATTTCGACCGTTTCAGTAATAACAGAAAGTTGTGAGGAAGACATGGATTACACTTTAGATTGGGAATAGATGAAACGAATTCTGGCGCACTATCTCTATCTTTGGGATTATTGGGATTTCTGAGAGCTTTTCACCGTGATTTATTCCTATCTCGAAATCAATTTATGAAATTCTAATCGAGTAGCAATATCGGTGGGGAAGAGTAAAATGCGCTGTAATTTAACCAGACGAGAACGTACTGAAGCGCAGGAATGAAAAGATCACTCTGACTAAATGGAGGTAGATAATATGCCCGGGAATTAAGTTCCAAATTTCCGACGCAAATGCCAGTAGGTAGCTCTTGTTACCTTGTCACACATACACCTATCCATTGCAGAGTGTGAATCAAACAACCCACAGATTAAATTAAGACTAATGGTGCCACATGTTGCCCTTAAGCCTCTCTGTTGTGCTAAATTCTCTCCTCCTGGAGCGTTGCCATCACAAGTTTCGCTCAAATTTCTTTCATCAGATAATGGTCCGATTATTACATTCTTGCAAAAATCAGTGATAGAGAACCGAAGAAACAAAGCACCCTTATTAGCTTTATTTCTTTTGTTGCTGATAGTAACTTTACAGAAGTTATATACTTTTCTAAACCGGATAGAAGGTGTTCATGGGCATATGGATAACCCCGTCAAAAGACTTCAATTCAAACATTCATGTTGAGTAACGCCATATACTGGAGATGCCTATTTACGTTTGGCGTATATTGCACACATATGAATAGATCGCCAATGGGCATTGTTTCGCCAGAATGTTCTCGCTTACTTATTATCGGCTTTCTACTCATTGTGCTCACTCATTATCGACCAAAAGGTCAGGTAATGATTATCACTATACGATTAGCTATTGCACGTCTATATTTTCTCCAATAAATCACTCATCGTAGAGCGATTAGGCCTTACCTTCTCTTTTTATTACTACTTCTGGGTCAAAAGGTTACAATCGAGCTGAGCTTATTTAGGGTTTATTAGTCCTTTCGTTTTTTAAGCAAATGGCAAGGAATTTGATTTAATAGTGAGCTTTTATGCCCAACAATTATATCTTTGTTTTGATTATCTACAAAGTAACGAATCAGCTGAAACGGTCTCTTCAATTTTGAACTTGATACTTTATAAAACGTCTCGTGTACTTAAACTCTAAATTGAAAAAAATTACTCTTTTCGTTTGTTCATTATGTTTTCCAGTTTTAGTGGATTCAAAGCATCATCCAAAATTGCTTAATTAAGGAGCTGTCTTCCTAATATATGTACCAATTTTGAATAAGGAGTTAATAATTGTATTAATTTAATAGATATGATTCACAGAGAGAGAGAGAGGGTGAGGTTTATGCTGATTTCTATAATGATAATTAGTGAAAATTTGAGATTTACATATCGAATCGAATCGCCCTTAAGAGTATGATATCAGGTGTATTAAAATGTCAATATTTGAATACGAAATAGTAACTCCTGCGATTTAATTTCCTTCACATTATTTTAAAGACATGGAAATTGCAGTGAAGAGTATGCCGCCCATAAGGCAATAAAAGAGAGCCAAACCACTAGCTTGATCCCTCATTTAGCACTGAGAAGCAATCCAAACACACACGGAGATATGTGTGCACTGCGATGTGGGGCTGGGGGGAGGGGAGGGGAGGGAGAAAGAGCCGAGTGTCAGAATGTATTAGCAACATAAGTGGCAGTACCTCTCTGTTGAGAGATGAGAAATGATTCATGCTCTTCTAAAAACGGAAGTTGCCCCATAGGCGACGCAAACAACACTTAACAGCACACATGCAGCTGTGTCGTACATGTTTTGTGGGTTTGGGAATTTTCTGTGGAGATATGCACAAGCAATGCAAGTAGCTATGTGTCATGTCCTATCCTACTCGAATCAACTAGTTGATGTCTCTCTTGGCTGGCAGTTACTAGTTGTAAACAGGCAGTGTACTTGTGGAAGTACTATTATTTAAGTGCAAGGCTCTGTTGCAGAAAATTGGCCATATCATATGGAGGGAGGGGAGTGGGGTGGGGGGGGGGAGGGTAAAAGTCACTTTGGTACTGTCGAGCTAATAGGAAGAAAATGGGAAATTTAAGAAACTCCTGTTAGAAGTCATAAAAATGCAGTGAATGAAGTTGGCCAAATGGGGAGCAATTTTCAAATTACTATTTCTGCGCACCCTTGCCCGAGAGTGGAGTATTTTGCATGCTCCATTACTGCCTAATTAGTTAGCCTCTCAATAATGTGCTTTTAAGCTCTAGATGAATTTATTGCTAATTGGGAAGGTTAAAGGAGGTTTATGCTCAATTAAGTCCTCCATCTTGTGTGTCTGTGTTGGTGTCATTGCAACAGTCCAGTGTTTTATTCTTCCTTTAAGACGCTCACGAGTTTCGCCTCTTTCAGTTCACTTCATATTGTGATGTTATAGAAACATGTCTTGGCTAGATCACGCCTTAGTATATATAGCGCCGATGATAATTATTAAGGTCGGCAAACATAATGCCTTAACGACAAGAGAAAGTGAAACACACATCCGATTTGCTGTCTC